AGATCTGGTGACTGTGGAGGCCATTTTAGTACAGTGAACTCATTGTCATGTTCAAGAAACCAATTTGAAATGATTCGAGCTTTGTGACATGGTGCATTATCCTGCTGGAAGTAGCCATCAGAGGATGGGTACATGGTGGTCATAAAGGGATGGACATGGTCAGAAACAATGCTCAGGTAGGCCGTGGCATTTAAACGATGCCCAATTGGCACTAAGGGGCCTAAAATGTGCCAAGAAAACATCCCCCACATCATTACACCACCACCACCAGCCTGCACAGTGGTAACAAGGCATGATGGATCCATGTTCTCATTCTGTTTACGCCAAATTCTGACTCTACCATTTGAATGTCTCAACAGAAATCGAGACTCATCAGACCAGGCAACATTTTTCCAGTCTTCAACTGTCCAATTTTGGTGAGCTCGTGCAAATTGTAGCCTCTTTTTCCTATTTGTAGTGGAGATGAGTGGTACCCAGTGGGGTCTTCTGCTGTTGTAGCCCATCCGCCTCAAGGTTGTGCGTGTTGTGGCTTCACAAATGCTTTGCTGCATACCTCGGTTGTAACGAGTGGTTATTTCAGTCAAAGTTGCTCTTCTATCAGCTTGAATCAGTCGGCCCATTCTCCTCTGACCTCTAGCATCAGCAAGGCATTTTCGCCCACAGGACTGCCGCATACTGGATGTTTTTCCCTTTGCACACCATTCTTTGTAAACCCTAGAAATGGTTGTGCATGAAAATCCCAGTAACTGAGCAGATTGTGAAATACTCAGACCGGCCCGTGTGGCACCAACAACCATGCCACGCTCAAAATTGCTTAAATCACCTTTCTTTCCCATTCTGACATTCAGTTTGGAGTTCAGGAGATTGTCTTGACCAGGACCACACCCCTAAATGCATTGAAGCAACTGCCATGTGATTGGTTGATTAGATAATTGCATTAATGAGAAATTGAACAGGTGTTCCTAATAATCCTTTAGGTGAGTGTATATATGTAATCACTTTTGTTAGAAGACCAATACAGTTGCAATATTTTTACTGAACTAAGCAAGCATCCCAAGACTTTCTGTGAGCACTGTATGTTTATCATTTTTGTATGACGTTGTAATTAAACCTTTACGATCCCATCTGCTTTTCATTTCTTAAGCACTTAATACTTTGAAATGTCTGTAACTGTCATGTTCAGTAATCAGTCTTTTTAAGGCAACTTACGCAACATCTTATAGATACTGAACACTGTTATACTCTGTCACAGTGAGTAATTAACCCTCAACGAGCCGGTATGCTAAACATCACTTCATATCTCAACAGTTGCCTAATGACTCGTGGTTCATCGTCATCACAGCCGCTCCGTCATAAAGGGTCTTTTGTCCTCTCCTCGTTTATCCCATTATTGTTGTTCTCGAGAGCTTGGTAGCCGTTTGTCGCACATAACCCATCATTCTCCACATTGTCGTGCCGGCTTTCCGATGAGATGCTCTGGCCGGCTCTCGGTAATGGAGACCACGCATGAGGTCCAATATTATGGGCTTCCCAACTATACATCCCGTGGCCTAACATCCAGCAGTCGCCGGGGGAACGATCGACTGTCCGCACGTTCAGTGGGTCTTTCGCCTTCCCACCCCCAGGGGGAGCAGGGGACCACAAACAGGCTGCCGTTGGCACACCAAGTACCTCAATGATCCCCCATCTCTGTAGTGGATTTCTCACTCTTTTTTTTTTTTTATGAGCAACTGGCTTTATCAGAATCCTCAAAAACGACATGTTTGTGATTCACGGTACCGATTTCCCAGGGAAAAAAAAAAAGAGAATAAAACCGAACAAAAAAAAGAGGGAAGAGGGCCCGGGGTTCTCTGGCGACGCATTGGCACGCAGTCAGCATTTAATGCACCAGCTGAGTGTTATTAATATCGCCGCCATTTAATTTGCGCCCAGACACGGTCATCTGTCATCTCTGAGTAATCGTATCAGTTCACACCGATTTCGCTGCGGCTGCAGACACGAGGGTGCCCCATGTGGGTTTGCGCGAGAGTATCATCCTACGGTAGGATTTTCGCTTAGAAAACTCGTGCCGGTCGGAAATGTCAGAGGCTGAGATGTAGGCAGAACAGGCCCCTCGCTAAAGTGACCCCTGAAGCTGGTACAACGCCACGATTTCATTGGCCGGTCATTTTTAGAGATGAAAGATCAGTTACTCTGCCCTTTGGTGGCCATATAAATACTTATTCTGATTGGGGGAGGGCGGGTAACCGATGCTATCTTGAATCCCTGATATGAGTGTTTCCCACACTTGCCTGTATCACCTGAGGAAAATGATTAGACAATCCTCGTTGATCAAAGCGATGTTGTAAATATAGTCTTTGTACCGGTGAATTTGCGGTTCTATATCGTGGGCCACTATTTGCAAATGTACATCGCGGCTTTGTTGCTTAATGTCAGTAAGTACTTTTGACCTCTGACCCTTGCTGAGGGTGGATGGTCGGCTGCATCTTATTTCCACTGCGTGTCATTCCAGGCCGCTCCTGCCAACAGATCGACTCTGTCAGATTAATAAGAGCAACGCTGCTCCGCGCCAAACCGCATTACGCCCCCGTAACAATCCCCGGGATCACAGCGTCGATCCTGTAGCGGTCTCCCTAACAGACTTTTGTCCGCAGGCGTTCTGCAGGCTTCTCTCCATGAGTTTCCACACGTGTTTCACGTCTTTGGTTTCCCCGGGTGAAGCATAGGGCCCCCGTCAGCCCCCACCCGCCTCGAGTTGCAGGGCAATCTCTTTGCGTCACGCCCGGCGACCGGATGCTGCAGAGTCACACATAACGTCATGGCGACAGTCTCCGGGATCAGCCAAGCGTCTACAGAGAGACGGTCAGGCCAGGAGGCCTGCTGAGACGCTACCTCACCGTCTGTGTGCTTCGGGACAGGAGGTCGGTTTATTTTATCACCTTCCTGAAAATTAGCAGTGATGCCGACAGATGTTACCATTCCTGTCGCTAAACTTCAGAAAAGATGGGAGGGGGTGCAGTAAGCTTTACCAGAGGTGGGTCTGAGAAGCAGCTACCACTAGAGCGGCACTCAACTTTTCTGTTTTTCCTCCACTTTAATCAACATCAACGAGCTGCGTGTTGACAAAGAATTAATTATAGTAATTACCGTTGTGTGGATTCAATTTGGCGTGACGACAACCCTCGCACTGCAGCTGTCAGGCCGTCGCGCCGCGCCGCTTACCGACGGCCACTGGGAGGACGTCAGAGCATGACGGCACACTGGGGGAGGGGGTGTCCGGCCATTAAACAACCGGACAGAGATATCCATCCCCCTGCGGCCATCATCTCGCAAGACAGCAAGGCCGGCATAAGAAATGCGCATAGCGGCGATGACAACGACGGTAAACCCATAGCGGCGTCGCCTTAGCTCGGCAGGGGCAGAGGCGACAGCTTTTCTTAGCCCGCGCAGCCGTTAATTACGCTCCCTGGCACGTAAACCCAGTCGACACTATCGACGCCGCTACTTTGCCGCAGGCATGCTTGGATGCGGAGGCATTTTTCGCTTAATTTTCTGTGCACGCCCCTCAGCTCTAATCAGTTCTGACACGCAAGGCAGCGGTACTCATTATCCTCGCGCCAAAGGGAGCAGCCGAAGAGGAGGAACAAAAGCGCTAACTTTAGCCAAGCTAGGATAGTGCGAACTTCGAGCATATTAACCTAATGCTAAGTTCAGCTAAGTCAGAGTAACACTGAATTTAGTCAAATTAAGGTAACCCCAACTTCAGCTAAGCTAAGGTAACACTAACTTCATCCTAGCTAGCCTAATGCTAATTTCCGTCTGAGCCAAGGCTAAATCTCCATTTCAGTCTGCGCCACAAGGTTTCATGTTGGGTGTGGTCCTGCTTCGGCTGTCATTTCAGCACATGAAAAATTTAAGACAGAGTGCAAGCATGTTGAATATCAGTGCCCGCTAACATCTTGCAGGACTATCGGCCTGGTCACCCGTTTTCCATCTCTGTACCACAGCGGAGCGAGTGTCACTTTTATAGTCACACTTTCATCCGCGATGATGTCTTCTTCAGCACCAGTCTGGTCCTGCCAATTAGTTTCTTCTTGGCTATCGACCGGGTACAGATACACGGCCCAGGAAGATCGATTACGGATCCTCCCTTGGTGGCTTTAATTATTCCTCTAGCTCCTCAAATTGCACTGCTGCTTCTCAGAGGGAAATATCAGGCCGCGAAAATGGCCCGCCCACCTCCCTCAAAAGTATGACATGCGTCACTGGGTTTCCTTAAAATAAAACCCGTTGCGCCCTATTCAGACGGGATTAGTTGTACCTGTGTACATCTGGTATATAGTTTGCAAAATGATTTGACTGCCCAATGCAAAGAAAAGCAAGTTTTCTTTTTTGGCTAACCTATCTCTGTAACATACGAACACGCAGACACAACTCTTTTTTTCTCCCTGCAATAAAGTAGCGTACAAATTGGTGTACAATGGTGTTGTACTGCTCTGCGCCTACTGAAAACATGCAGGTGTATTTTGTCAGATGTTTGTGTGGAGAATTCAGTACCCATCCCGTCTCTATTTTCAGTGAATAAATGCCGTTTCTGTCTTACAAAAAAGAGGCCTGCCTTTATAGATATGACCTAATTACCCAGATGACAATTCAGGCTGAACTACTATTACTGAAAGATGGCCGTGTTCACTGAAATATGGAAGGTAATTCACTCCTGAATTTTTACAGTGGAGGCTTGTAATAATTACAGACGTGGCAAATTCGGACTGGATTAAAATTACGGACCACACCGGTAATTGCTTCAGTTACATTACGTCCCCAGGTAAAACTAATCACGTCTGAATAGGACTTGAGAGTAATATTTTGGGCATTTACCGCAGGATCACTAAATGTCCCCTGTAGTTCACTCAAAGTTTTTAGGTAATTAAGCATTAGGTAATTAATAACGTTCTAAGGAGACATCGTAACCCTCTAGTTGAGTGCAATGGGGGTCTCACCTTCTCCCATTCCCTCTCCTTGTTGAGGACAATGACCACCAGCTTGGGGTTGGCCTGGTACCCGTCTTCTGTGAAGGACAGGTCCCTGCCATCCCAAGTCACATTCATCATGTATCTGAAAGACAGGAAGATGAAAAAAAGTTAATGAGCTGTCCAGCACCTGACGGCTGTGCCAAAATCAGACAGGGCATCAGCCTGGAAGCCGGCAAGCTCCCACGAGGGCGTGAGTTTCAGAGGGGAAAAGGAGACATTAATCACGAAAGGCGTCCAGTGGCAGTGGGGGCTCTTCAGTGAAGGTGTGCTGGTCGGGGGGGGGGGGCTGGCGGTGGGGTGTGTCTCTATGTAGGTTTACAGTGACAGGAGGGTCAACCTGGGGAGGCGAAACGTGCAGCAATATCAGACAGGAGTGCGTTGCTACGTGTTGTCTTTTGGGGGGCCATCAAACTGTAAACTCAGCATGTTACTACTTTGTAGGACCAGCAGGGGGCGAGATTGTCACTTTGTCAAATGACACATCATTCCAATCCTGCGCCAGCACCGTCAATTAAACAGATCGCTGTCCAATCTGTTCGATTGTATTTCCTGATCCTGCCTAGACTTCCTCTGCAGTGAAAGATCCCATCACTATCCCATCAGTCTGGACCACCAGTCATCCTTGAAAACTAGGTACTTAGAGTCTGAATGGTTTATCGAGATGACGGTCCACCCTCCCTCATCCACCCTACGCTGGCCCGCATAATCCATTCAGAAGGAGGAGAGCAGCGCACTTCCATTATGAATGGAGTATGTTATTGGATGCAGTTACGTCCAGATTGCAGAGGAGGTCCAGAGGAATCTGCACCTCCACTCCCTGCATTAACTCCACTTTCACACTATAGATCTTTATGGCTAATTTTACGAGGGTTTTGCGCTGTTGACTTTCACTGGCCTCTCCCGGACCCTGTGGATATGCAGGGATTACTGAGACCTTCACAGCGGGTCATAGCAGTACCACGGCCATGACCAGTGACCCTTTTTTTAAAAGTAACAGTGGGTCTTTGTGATTTGTCTGTCTCTCACATCTCATTGGACGATGTGATGAGGCAATTATGAGCTACGATGGAAGCAAAGTGCAAAGAACACTGGTTCCGAGGGACCAGGGAGGGTGTGACTGTCTCCAAAGTCCCCTTAGTGACACCGGGAGGCAGGCGTAGCTGTTCATGCTCAGGAAGGAGTATGCTGTTTCTTCTCGAATTTCAACGGGAATCCTTCAGTCAATAGCAGCTGCTAGACAGTGACCTCAGACCTCCCCCTGTGATCCTGTGACAGGTTCTGTTCCTAAACGTCCCAGTTTTCCACCTCAGTTCCCCACGTTCTTTAAACGCATTTCTGCCGCTGTTCCTCGCCATTTTCATTTTCTCTGTACGCATCAGCTTGCTTATTTGAATGATTCTCTTTATATCCCAAGAACATTCTTATATCCTCAAAACAATGTTCTTAAAACCTTAGGGAAACATTAAATCAGCACCTCGTTTCTCGGTGGCCCTGTGGTGTTTCGGCGGACACTCAAGACGTCCCCTGGTCCCTCGGGAGGGGGCAGGTCTGTCAGGAGTGCTCGGGCAGGTCTGTCAGGAGTACTCGGGGTAAAAATATCCGAGACTGGGAAGGCAGACGACTCCGGGGAGCACGGGGACAGCTCGGAAGCACCACGGGACACCCGGCGCGGTGCGGATCCCGTACGAAGATAAACGACCTCGCTCACTCGGCGTGGCGTCCCGTCACGCCTGACCCCCCGCCATTTTGTAACGCTGAGCACGAAGATGCAGGTGCTTCAGACTGTTCCCAGATCAGTGCGGAAATCTATACGCACACCTGAGCCTTCTTATACGTACGGGCAAATCTTGACATACGTAATACTGATGTAACGTAAATCCATATGCGATATGTCCAAGATAGACTTTACAAAAGTGCTAATGCAAAAAGGTGACATACGCCTTCAAGGAAATTGACATTTTAACTTGTCGTTAATTTAATATCTGTTTTTAGTGTGTATCATTAGCGTACTTTCAGGTTTATCTGTGTTTGGCTGTAAGGTGTCTTAAATGGTATGGGCGGTAAATTTGACTTGCATAAAATCTAACATAAGTGTTTATGTGATGGATGATGCATGTCAGTCGAAAGTAGTTAAAATGAAAGAATGTATTTGATTCCAATTTATACAGTGTGGGGGGTGGATGTTCCAGGGCGGGGCAAAATCAGGCGACCAGTTCATTTTAGGCTCTGATCCTGGACCCTGTTGCAGCCTTTTTAACAAACATTTTCCCTCCTGCTGTTGCCGCTTTAACCCACCCAGCCAACCCCCAAGTCACATGACTCTGTGTGCCATGCATCCTGGCCGCGGTGGCATTTGGTTTTTCTTAGACCTTCCTTATGTTGCATCGCATTACCTTCCCAAACTGCGGGTTAATTTCCCCCTTTATTTATCTTTCTAAGAATGCGTGTCCTTGCTGGGGGCTGCTTCTGACCGAGGGGGGTCTTGCGTTTCCCAGAAGGCAAAGCAAGCCTTTCACACAGAGGTACTGTAGTAAAATGGAAGGGAGGCGATAGCTAATGACTGATTGTGTAATCGCTAGAACGAGAGCGAGAACGAGCGAGAGCATTGTTTTTAATTAAAAATTTAACAAAGAGGTAAGACGCTAACACGGCGGAGGAGGAAGTCCAGAAACGCGATCATAATTAGCTTCAAAGATGCCGTGTGTGCTGTCCGCTAGCCTGTGGTCATGCTTTATTTCACTTAAACCTTAAATCTACTTGTTCTACATAATTAAACACCACAAAGTCATTCAGGGGGCACTTCAGAAAGGAGATAGGTTTCAAGAACTCGCCTAGAAAAATGCATGGCGTTGGTGGAACATCTTAAGCAGAGTCAGTTGTGTTTTCGGGGTTCAGGGGTCCTTATGGGGATGGTACTCGGCTTCGAGCCAGAAAGGAAGGCCCGTCTAGCAGGCTGAACTGGTTCCTGTCCAGCTGGCAACACTCAAACACATATCTGATGTTATCAGGGAATCTGCCCAAGCCAAACACGGCAAGGCTATATGGGGTGTTAAACAATATGCCTCGGAACATCAAAAAAATCAGACTGACAGAGGTTCAGTCACTGAAATCGGTAACTCATCCAGATGAACGTTCATTGCATCTCGCTGAAGAAGCTGGTGGAGATGGGACCATTTTCACTCGACATGCCGCCCCTTGTAAATTGCAAAACAGACACTTTCCCACTTCCAGACGAATAAGTGAGAAGGAATAATCCATCAAAAACATGTCCTTCACCTGCCGCTCCCCGGACAAATCCTCTCCCACCCTTTCGATTTCCGTCTCTCTGCTGGCAACTTTATTAAGCTTCCCAGCTCTCAACGGTGAAGAGCCACAAAGAGACATCGCAATTATGTATTTACAGTCTTATGAAACTCACCGCGACAATTGCATTTGCCGACCAGCGGTATATTTCCATGCAGTATAAGTCCAAGGTTTGTATACGTCTGTAATTTTGTTGCTGAAATGAATCACACACGAATCGATCAATGGCTCGGAAAAAGTATCCCAGAGTGCACTGCTTTCGCAGCTAAGCGGGATGTGATTCATGGCCACAGAGGGTGGTCCTGGAAGCAGGTTCAGGCATTGGGAATTGGGAGGTGGGACGGTCATGTGACTAACGACGCAAACCACAAGCTCCGGGGTGGTATCCTTCTATGTCAGCTATCAGCCTCCAATGGATTTATTTATGATTTCAGCCACTTTCAGTCGGTACAGTATAAGGCACAGAGCCTCTACTCATTTGCTTGTGCCTCACTGTTTTGTCTCAGACCCAGAGCACCCTCTCAGAGCCTGATTCTCGTACCCACTCTGACCATCTCCCACAATCCTATTCCACCTATGTAGCCGATCAAAGCCCCGCCCCTTCCTCCACACCCCGTGTCACATCCTGTTTGCCTTCCTGTCAGATGTGAGTCATACATTCGGCCACCTTGTGGACATCAGCAGACATCTGTGACTGGAATGCCTTGCAGGAAACCCCCCCCCCCCCTCCCGGATCCCCCATGCATTTGCGACCTCCATCCTTGACCCACTCGGGTCCAACTTGCCAGATTTGGCGAGCGCAAACAGAAAGCCTTGCCAGAGGCTGGCTTGTGTCTGATGGTCATGCCCACAATCGACGCTGATTCACGTCACTTATCAGCTTCCCAGCTGCCCGCCTGTTTAGTGAATTTTTGCGACACTGGCAGGAATCGACAGCTTGCTTCAGGATGGTCGTGTTGAGGAGATCGTTACCATGGCAGGTAACTTTCATGTCTCGATTTCCTTCGAAAAACAAAAAAAACCTATCCTATATGTCAATGAATTCCAGACATTCAAAATTCATAACTTTATCGGTAGAAAGCGAAATATCTGGAAAAAGAAATCTTCAGTTGGAGTTTTACTGCCAGAATGGACTCCCGGGGGACGCGGCGGTCAGCAGAGAGAGGCGGGAAGCGAGGCACACTACTGCCAGCTCGGCGTCTCTCTTTGGGTTGTGTTTACACCATCAGAGCGATGCTGCATTCCCCCCCCCCCCCCAAAACAGAGTGAAAGCTGTAACGGTCCCTCACACGAGGGGCTCTCCAGAGCCGAGCAGCAAGTCCCACATTTCCTCATTTTATGTCATCCCAAAAATGGGGAGACTGCAGAATTTCACCCAGAATGTTACTTTCATCTCCCGCTCCGTCTCGATGCAGCAGTTTGCCTAGGATGGTAATTGCTTTTTTTTGTTTTTTTTTTTACTTACCGAAATACGTACAGTAAATATAATTCACTGAAATGTCCTAAAATGCTGCAGCATGCGTCAGCTTGCCCCCTAGACCGCGTCAGTGCTGTAAATGCCATCGTCGATGCTTTCAGGCCCTGTATCGTCTCCAGCTGCGGGGTGTGATACCAGCCACTGCTGTAGACTCACAGAGTGCCCGTGGGGCCTTGTTTCCACGGCGATGCCCGGCCCGCTCACCGACTGTCTGCTAGCACTGTGGGATTAATGTGACCCACACACCTGGGTGGAAACGGCCGGTGGCACAATGATAAATGTGGCTGATAATTGTCCCAGCAGGATGCCCCTCCCTGCCCCCCCCCCTGAAAAAGGGAAGAGCCAGGCTTGTTAGTACCCCGATGCAGCATCCACCACCCCATTGCTGGCGTTGGGTTCAAGATGGGAGGGGAACCACTCGTGCACTTTAAACGAAACATTCCCTATTTTATTTTATCCAAAACGAAGCAATTTAGTAGCCTTGCTCAAGGAACCAACGGGATTTGAACCAGCGACCTTCTGAGTGCTAACCAGCTGAACCACACACCAGAATCCCTGCATCCTCTGCCTACCCAGGCAAACCTGGAGGACTTTCATATCCTAATCGGGGGCTTGAACACTGTACCGTGTCTTTGAGCGTTTGATCTACACGGTACATCACACAGACCTTATGAGCAGTTAAGAGATTCAGCCAACGTGTAAACCTCCAGGTGGATGGGCCAGGCTCGGGAGAGACAAACCTACTTGTGCAATGCGCTGGGCGGGAGCTTGGTCTTCTCCAGCTGTCCGTAGCAGCTGGTTTTGGCCTCGGGGATGTCGCCGAACTCCTCCAGCATGGCAGAAGCTGCGGTGGTGATAATCCCCAGGCCGTCGCGCACCCTCGCCTCCAAGGGATAGTCCCAGTCGTCGTAGGAGACCGAGATCATCCCCGAGGGGAACTCATCAGGCGTGATCTCCGGGTTGCCCGTGGTCAGGCTGGGCACGATCCAAATGAAGCCGAAGCCGGTGAGACCCAGCGACCGGGCCTCGGCCAGGATGTAGGCCGCCTCGTCTTTGGAGCAGTACAGCAGGACGACGGGCGACTGGATCCTCTTCATCTGGATCTGCGTCCTGGTGTCGCCATCCACCGCTTCCAGCGTGATGGTGTTCTGCAGGTCCCAGCCCACAAAGCTGTTGTCCACCGTGTTCTTCAGGATGCTGATGAAGTCCTGGTACCCGGGGAACTTGCTGGTGACAATGGAGAAGACGTGCCAGTCGTACTCCTCCATGATGTTCAGCATCAACAGCGCCTCCTGCTGGATGGAGGCCCCAAACTGAAAGAAAGTGGACTTCACATCCTGAGGGGAACAAAAACACGAGACAAATATAAGGTCACCAGGGATTCAGGATTCAAGATTTTTATTTGTCACATGCACAACTTTACAGTACAATGGCAGCGAAATGTTATTGTGGCAACACAGCCCCGTCACTGTGCATAAACATATCAAAACTATAAGGGAAAAAGTTAAGATGAATAATAAAATAGAGGAAAAAAAAAACTGTTAGAAAAGGCAATAAAATATCTATGAGCATAATATGAATTGTGCTAAGTTACATGCAAAATCCTTCCACGGTATTGATGTAAAGTGCAAATGCAGTACAAGTGGCGTAATTGTCATGTAGGGAGGGGGATAGCATGCTAGTCCGAGTAACATATAACATGAGAGAAAAGAGGAAAGACGATAAACGAAATGGCCAGTGAGGAACTCACCTAAATCATTAATATTTATTACTGAGCTCTATCTACAGAATTCTGTGTAATACTTTCCCTGACATTATTTGCACTGTTACTGTTTATCATTTATTGTTACTGTCTACCGCAAAGTGCCGGCACCCAGTCCTGGGTTATTCTCAGTCTTGTGCCCATAGCTTCTGGGATAGGTTCCAGACCCCTGCCACTTTGCACAGGACAAGCGGGTATGGAAGATGGATGGATGAATATTTGTCTGCATCCATCCATCTGTCCATCCATCCATCCATCCAAGCAGCTGAAAGAGCCAGCATGCCGTCTGCATACACTGGCTCCTCCTGTCTTGATCCTTTGTTTAAATGATTGCCTCTTTTATGGCTTTGCAGATAAGGTTCTGTAACGAGCCCGGAAACAGCTCAATCTTGGTGCATCATTGTCGAAATGCATCACACACCCGGTCACACCTTCACATCCTGCAGATGCCACAAACGCGAGAAACATGGTCATGTGGAGGGGAGGGGCACATGTGCGCATTACCATGGATGTATGGACAGTGTTGGGGGAGTTATTCACAAAACTAATCATCAACCAAGCAGTTGAGTATAAAGAGTCACAGTCACAGAGTACTCAACTGGTTGGTTAAAACAAAACTGGATTTGTACTTTCTGGACCTGAACTTGTACTTTCTGGACCTGAACCTGGCCTAAAATCTCTCCCAAGAGGAGGCACGGCAGCACCAGCTGCCGGCGGAGAGGAATAAAGTTGGCGTCATGTTCTTCTCATCCCTCTTTCTCTCTCCCTTTTTCCCTCTCTCACTCCCTCTTTCCCTGTCCTGGCATGATCCCCCTCTCTTTCTAAGCCACACAGGCCCCAGTCTCTTACGTCACCAGCCCAGAATGTACACAAACGGAATAATCATATTATCCCTCTGCTTAAAAAGCTTTCAGATTCCGAAATAAACACGTGAAACCGTCGCCCATGACTCCAGCGGAGGTTTTCCCAGCAATGCCACTCAGTGAAAAACGAATGATAACAGGCCAAGGCTGACAATGGCGCCCCCTGCAGGCACATTGTCATTTGGCAGGTCTTTCTGAAAACCTGTGTACTACCAGCTCTCACTTGGCTCCCAGAATGACGGCTGCTGGCATGGAGAGTGGGGGGGGGGGTCATACTCCAAAATGGGTGGCCACTCACACCGCCTGGGACTCCCAGTATGCATTGATGCACGTGCAGAGCAAGCGCGGTGTCCGCTGGCAAAGGCGAATGGGACACTGGGGGGCGCCGTGCTCCCCTCAGAGCTGCCGCTCAGAGTTTGACGTCCAAACATCCTGACCGAATGGCCCCCCTTCATCTGCGCGCTGATTGAAATGGTCCCCCCCCCCCAACACACGCTTTCCATCATCTATTTTAGTGGAGGCTGTTTAATAAAACATTCGGTCTCTATTAATGCCAGTGAGTGAGCAGACCTCTGCGTGTTCTGCAGGGCGACCCGCCAGATGGATTTACAGTCTTTCACAGAACGTTGTCAGACCATTAAATTATACTTTTTCCTCTGTCGCTTTTAATAAAAATATCCTCAATGTATTGCCTTTGGAACATTTTACCAAGGCGGGCCATGCATCCACAGCAGACTTGGTGTATGAAACGGCAAATTTACTGCTAAATTTCTAGAATGTTCCGACCCGTCAGTGCCTCTGCTAAACCGTGCCTCAAAACCCTTTTTTCAAACCCAATATGATGGAAAAAGAGCCGAAAACAAGTGATGAAGTGTGGCATTGTGGTTTATATAGTATGAAGACATCATCCCATTGCATTGTTTATGCAGGATTACCTGGAAACAGCATTTGTCCACTATGCAAAGCTGCTGACTCGTATGTCGAGCCCAGCACCGCATGTTTAGGCTTCAGAGACCCACCGTGACCGAGGTTTGCAAACATAGCCGCTTTCCTACTTCCTACTGGGCTGCATCCAGGGGTGAACTTCTATGCACTTTAATCCCACCACCCTGCACCTTGTATCTCCATCCGAACCTGCTACGTACAGAAAAAGTGAGGGCGTATTCGTTCTCCGAAGGCCTTTTTCTGACCTGTGCCTGAGCGGAATGTGAGGGGGAGGCAACATCTGCTCTGGCGGTACTGCAGACGGGGGGGGGGAGAGAGTGCTGTTGACGCGGCCCCGAGCAGCCGCTTACTCAGACTGTTGTGACACGTTTCTGGCACGCGGTCCAACCGGAGCAGCTGAAACAGCACAAACTCCGTCGCCGTGGGAACAGAAGGGATCCATCGCGCTCCAGAGCACCGGTGCATGCTGGGAGTTGCTCATCACTAACGAGAGTGCTGGCATTTCTCTATTGCACTGGGGCATAAGATGCAAACTGGCGTTTAGCCTTGCTAATGTCCCTCAGGTCTAACTCTAACCTAACCGTTTTTGTGTGAAAGCATGGCGAAGATGTTCCTCAAACGCTTCTGCAATGTTGAAGGAGCAGCAGACAGAGAGGCATCAACGACACAGTACCTGTAAAACGCTGCTCATTAAAGTCTAGCGAGCTTCACATGGTTTGACCACATGGTTTGACCACATGGTTGTGCCGTAAAGGGTGTTTGTTAGCCAGGTGAGTTTGGGTGGCGAGGATGTGGCAGATGAGAGAGGTACATGCTTGATGGTCAGGAGTGGCAGTCTTAGTGGTGTCTGCTCTGTCTTAAGGCTTATTTTAGTTTTGCAGCAGCAGGTTTTTTTCCATTTATAGGGGCCACGCCCATATTTTGAGTTTCCTAATATAGGTTTTCTTTTTTGAACTGTCCCAATAAACTGCTACACATGCTATAAAGAACCATCAGTGGTACATTTTAAAGCCCAAACACTGCAACTAAAGGAGCCTCTTCAAACATAGATGTGTGTGGCCCTATGAGATAAACACATACAGAGAGGTTTAGGGCACAATTTAAAGCTTCCTTTCACTACAGTCAGATAGTGGAGGGTCACATGACTGCACTCACTGGCAGCAGATCTGAACAAACCCTGTGTGGGGGGAGTTGAAGCATCCCACCCCCAGTATTAACTTAAAAACCTATACAAACAGCCCCCCCCTAGCCCAGATTCGGCAGCTTTGAGCGGCGACATGTTTACTAAATAACACCATTTGAGTCGACAGACATGGAAACATATGGGCATCCGGGGGAAAATCCACTCAAGTGCTCAACGCGGTAATAACAACGTTCAGGAGCTATTTTAAGAGCAACCGGGGGTGTGTGGAAGGAGCATTTATGTTATCTATAGAAATCGAACGTTGCGGGGATGCACGGGGTGTCTGTTGCGTATGGATGGCACCCCCCAGCTACAGTAGCTAATGGCAGGGCGAAGCGTATTACACACATACCCCCCCCCCCCCTCTTGCCCCCAAGCGAGTTTCCTTTTCACCAGTCAGATAAACAGATTAAGCGCCGACTACGTCGATTAGAATTTGATCCAGATCTTTAATTTGCCAGCTGCCCCCTCTGTAATTTCCCCCACGAGCGAGTCCGTGCGATTGTCACGCCCCTCCCGAACGCGCCCGCTGGGGTCCGTGCCATTGTCACGCCCCTCCCGAACGCGCCCGCTGGGGTCCGTGCCATTGTCACGCCNGCCCGCTGGGGTCCGTGCCATTGTCACGCCCCTCCCGAACGCGCCCGCTGGGGTCCGTGCCATTGTCACGCCCCTCCCGAACGCGCCCGCTGGGGAGGAGGGTACCGTGCTGCCGAGCCATGGAGCGTTTGCGGTATTTTGATTATGGCTGAGCTATCCTTCATTCTGTCAGGTAACGTGACGGCATCCCATAAATGCTGCGTATGTGATCCAGTTATAATGACATAAACCCTCCAGTGATTTACCATGGTAACTGGATTAGGAGTGTAATAAAAGCGATGGGGACTCGCGAATAACGTATACAGTGGCTAAGACTCTGCAGATCTGCCTCTAAACGTTCTATCAGAGTCTTTGCCGGAATCAGCCGGTTCACATCTTCACATCACATCTTAAAAGGCCAGGGGTCTTCCCAAACAATTCCTTCTTTTGATAAAGGAAGTCCAAGTTTGCCATGAATTTTTTTTTGAAGTTACTTTCCTTCAAATGCTCCTAAGGTATCAATTAATCCATTTTCTTCCATAAGAATAACAACGAACAGCAGCGTGGCCCAACTCTGACCTTACTTCTCTGGCCCTGTCCTCACAGCTAGTTGCTAATTCACCGCCAGCTGCTAACTCACAGCTAGCCGCTAAACAGACTCACACTCAGCTACCTAGTAACTCACAGCTAGTTGCTACACAGTGTCACACTCAGTTAGCCAGTATCTCCCAGCTAGTTGTTAAACAGGCCCACATTCACAGCTAGCTGCTAATTTACAGCTAACCGCTACACAGACTGACACTCAGCTAGCAAGTAACTCAAACTAGCTGCTAATCAGGCCCACATTCGCAGCTAGCTGCAAACTCACAGCTAGCTGCTAAGCAGTCTCACACTCAGCTAGCCAGTAACTCACAGCTAGCTGCTATGCAGTCTCACACTCAACTAGCCCATAAACAGGCCCACACTCACAGCTAGCCACTAATTGGCCCTGCTCTTGCAATTGCCACT